GGGCCAGTTGCATCCATGCTGCGTGTCTTTTATTGCAGTGTAGACATACCCGGAGGTGACTAAGGAGAAATCAGAGGTACATGGGAAGAATATGAAGAGACCTGACAGACCATAGGGACCGGGCTTAGGATGGATCATAAGCGCTCATAACAACTAAATGTTCCTTTCTGGGTCATCAGTTTTAGTGCTAGATCCGTTGATCTCTCAGACCGGGGTATTTGTTGAGCTTTCTGCAGCTTACTGGTAAGGTCCAGTTTGGGAACATCTCAGCTAGAATCCTTGCCTAGCCTAGTTTGCTAGGACAGTGGAGTGTGTCTGCCTCTGAAGGGTGAACAGGATGGTCTTTTCTAGTGTAGGTGTTCGATAGGAGTTCCAGAGAGTGCCAGATATCTGTGATTCACTGAACAGAGTAGATGAACGAATTACAAAACAGCATTTAAACAAAGGAAGAAGATACTTAAAAGTGCTATAGTAAAAGTGAGCCACCATGCAGAAGAGCTCTTCAGGGCAAGTGAAATAATAAAATATTGAACAGAGAGGTACCCTTGCTATTTCATTCTTCTGGATTACTGTACATTAATTTCACAATGATTCTGTACGGGGTTTATTTATTTATATATGGGGTTTATTTATATAGATTTTTTTTTTTTTTTAAAGTGAATTGGCCCAGGGCACGGAAACAGTTAAACAGGAGGAGGTAACAGTTAAACATCAGCAGTCATGTTTGTCTGAGGAAGTGGACACTGATGAAATTGAATATGACGACGACGATGATGAGGATGAAGAGTGGGACTGGGATGATTCAGTTGGAAGACTCACCAAGCATCATACTGCAGCTGGAGGCTGCAACCCACAGGTACATTAATGACACTTCCAGGACACTTTTCAGAGTTTCTAATAGCAAAAGGGACTAAAGCAGGACACAATGATATGTGAATGTGACCCCAACCATAAATTCAAGTTGGGACTTCTCACTGCACTCTCAGCTTAGGAGCATCCTCATGCCTCATATCTCTCCTCCTCTCACACATACACACACACCATGTACCCCCTAACCAATGCCACCCTCTTCCCATGCCCCGGTGGTTCTCCTTCCTCAACTCCTATTGCTCGGTCTTGCCTGTGGCTGCAACTCTGTTCCATTCCTTTGGGGTCTCAACCTATCTCCCCACCCTGATATCACTGCGATGTCCTCCTTTTCAATATCCTCCCTCTATATTCCTGGGTTTCTGTCTTTTCCTTCTCACCAGTTTGTGAGACAACATGCTTGCTGTGACTGGGGAGTGTGAGGGCAAGCATACATTTTATATCATTAGTAAAGGAGGCAACTAAACCCATGAAAAACACCAAAGGTGAATGGATTTAGAGGGGACTCTATCAGGTTAGAAATCTTGTCTGAATTACTAGCTTAAATAATTAACCCACAGAATTTGAAAACTAATTTACCTTTCACTATGCTCTCAGCTTGGGCAGCGGAAGGAGAACATTTCTCCTTTTCTCTTTGACATAGGGACATCAGAGTGTCTTTGGGAAACTGAAGGGGAGCAGTTACAAAATGTTGTGGCTGGCACAAAACATATTTCCTGGGCTACCTATTTCTGCCTTATGGGCTTCGGAAGGAGACCTGGGGAGAAGGGAGTTATGTGTGGTGTGTGCTATTTAGGGGCTTATGATGGGGATCTGGCTGGGGCAGACATTGATTGGGTCTGGAGAAGAGTACCTAGGGGAACTGATGCCTTTTTGGCAAGCCATGCATGCCCCTTCTTTGTTCTCTCTTTTTGCTCTGATTCTTTCCCTTCTCAGTTTTTCTCCCCATCTCTCTCTTGGTGTTTTCTCTCCTTGTTTTCCCCATCACTGGTGTTCTTGTTCCCTCTTGGGAGCTAAAACATGCTAGTTGACTGAGTGACAGTCAATCCCCTGATTAACAAGCACCTTCTCCTTGAGCTCTTCGCTAATAGGATTTTGAACCCACATATGTTTTTTGTTTTCTCTGAACTGAAATCATTTCCAGTTCTAAGTTATGTCCGTACCCTGACAAATTCTGATTTTCTAAATGCAGATAAGCTTGTACAGGTGTTTAGAGACACGAGCAGATCAAACTAGATAAATTGATTCCCCCCCCCCAAGGTACTGTGTGTATTTAGAAGGACTACTTAGGGAAGGCAAATTATGTAACAAATCCTTTGTTTCAGGCAAATAGACAGACCCCTAGTTGCAATTCAGCAAAAATGTCCACTCCTACAGACAAGGCCCTAAGAAAATTTGAGCATAAAATTAATCTAGGTAAGTATAATCCTATCGTCCTCTTTTATGGTAATAGGTACACCTTGGTGACATTCAGTGACTAATTCTAATTACATTGAGCTAGAGCTTTTAGGCATTATAACTAGCCAGCTGTTACTAAACAGTTAAAAGGGTTAATATTGGATGTCACCTTCAGACATCATGTTTGTCTTTAGATACCATTCCTGGAGTCTCCTCCTCCCCAGAGAGCTGTCAGTCTCTCTTCCCTCTGCCTCCTTCTGATTACACAAAATAATTCTTCTGTAATTTCACCCCAGAAACAATCTGATTGGCTGGGAGGGAGGGACTCAGCTGTCCATCAGACCATCATCTGATCACTCTCAAAGCTGCAGCACCTCAGCTTTTTTGGTTCTACAATATTCTGTATAGTCAGTATGCAGTGAAGTTGCTGTGTAACATACCATGGTATCTTGTGATAGCAAATTTATACTGGGATACAGTGATTTTGTCTAGTATCTTTCATACCAAAAGATTTCCAAAATGATGAGTAGGGCAGTGATTTATAGACACAAACAGCAGCAGTATACTTGGCATTAAGTCACATGCTACCTTAAACATCAGAATTAGTGTTATTGAGGGAATATTGGCTTGGACACTGAGGGCTATTGCTTACTCTGTTTGCAAAATGGCATGGGATTTTTTAAGTTCCTTGAGAGAAGGGCAGAGAGACTTCTGTTTAACTCCCATCTGAAGGACAGCATCTCTAGGCACTGTCTCATCTTCAGGGCAGTAGCCCCTGTTGCTCTTCTATAATCCTGGAGTGGGTCTCAGACCCATAGAGGAGAATGCTAAGTTAACTCATGCTGCTAGTGCATATGTTTTGAAAACCTGATCATCTTGTTACAAGTATTTCTTTATGTGCCTTGAATGTGTGTGATGTGTGATATGTCTGTGTCTATTGGCAGCAGAACTGTAGCTGCAGTTTTGTGTGTGGAAAACCTCTTTGATCTTCACTTCTTTTTTTTTTTTTTTTTAAATGTATTTTTCAGATAGGTTAAATCTTGCTGACTCTGTTATAAACAAAGTCACAGAAAAGTCTAGGCAAAAGGAAGCAGATATGTAAGTACTTTGGGTGGCTGTATTTCTGTTTATTTATTGAAAACTCTAATACCCTCAAATTGTTTTCTGCTATGAGCTGCAACTTGATCTGTGATGCTGAATAAACTAGAAATTAGAGAATGTAAATGTTCTGTGTGCTGTTTGTATTTTGGATAGGGCTGTCAAAGGATTTAAAAAATTAATCACGATTAATTGTGCAATTAATCAAACTGTTAAACAATAGAATACCATTTATTTAAATATTTTTGGATGTTTTCTACATTTTTAAATATATTGATTTCAATTACAACACAGAATACAAAGTGTACAGTGCTCACTTTATATTTATTTTTGATTACAAGTATTTGCACTGTAAAAAAACCAAAAGAAATAGTATTTTTCAATTCACCTAATACAAGTACTGTAGTACAATCTCTTTATCATGAAAGTTGAACTTACAAATATAGAATTATGTACAAAAAAACTGCATTCAAAAATAAAAGAATGTAAAATTTTAGAGCCTGCAAGTCCACTCGGTCCTACTTCTTGTTCAGCCAATCACTCAGACAAACAAATTTGTTTACATTTGCATGAGATAATGCTGCCCGCTTCTTGTTTACAATGTCACCTGAAAGTGAGAACAGGCATTCTCATGGCACTGTTGTAGCTGGCATCGCAAGATATTTACATGCTAGATGCGCTAAAGATTCATATGTCCCTTTATGCTTCAACCACCATTCCTGGGGACATGCGTCCATTCTGATGACGGGTTCTCCTCGATAACAATCCAAATCAGTGTGGACCAACGCATGTTCATTTTCATCATCTGAGTCAGATGCCACCAGCAGGAAGTTGATTTTCTTTTTTGGTGATTCGGGTTCTGTAGTTTCCACATCGCAGTGTTGCTCTTTTAAGATGTCTGAAAGAATGCTCTACACCTCGTCCCTCTCCGATTTTGGACGGCACTTTCAGATTCTTAAACCTTGGGTCGAGTGCTGCAGCTATCTTTCGAAATCTCACATTGGTACCTTCTTTGCGTTTTGTCAAATCTGCAGTGAAAGTGTTCTTACAATGAACAACATATGCTGGGTCATCATCCGAGACTGCTATAATATGAAATATATGGCAGAATGCAGGTAAAACAGAGCAGAGGACATACAATTCTCTCCCAAGGAGTTCAGTCACAAATTTAATTGATGCATTTTTTTTTAATGAGAGTCATCAGCACGTAAGCATGTCCTTTGGAATGGTGGCCGAAGCATGAAGGAGCATACGAATGTTTAGCATATCTGGCACGTAAATACCTTGCAATGCCAGCTAAAAAAGTGCCATGCCAAATGCCTGTTCTCACTTTCTGGTGACACTGTAAATAAGAAGAGAGCAGCATTATCTCCTGTACATGTAAACAAACTTGTTTGCCTTAGCAATTGGCTGAACAAGAAGTAGGACTGAGTCGACTTGTAGGCTCTGAAGTTTTACACTATTTTGTTTTTAATGCAGTTATGTAACAACAACAAAAAATCTACATTTGTAAGTTGCACTTTCACGACAAAGAGATTGCATTATAGTACTTGTATGAGGTGAATTGAAAAATACTATTTCTTTTGTTTATAATTCTTACAGTGCAAATTTTGGAATTCAAATTTTCCCCATAAAATGGGATGATTTGCAGAGCCAGTCACTAAAATCATTGCCAGGTCTTGATCCTGCTTTTTTTGAAGTCAGTGGCAAATCTAATCATTTAAATGGCTGTGGGATTAGCCAATAAGGCAGAAAATGCTGGCGGTACTTTGGCAGCAAAGGAATCCCATTTTAATGTAATGATGCTTCCTCTTTTCTCTCCCTTCCTTGCCTAATTTTCTTCTTGAGCAATCATTCTGGAAAAATTATTGGTGGAGCTATGGGTATTTCTCCTGAGTAGATCATGTCATGCTGTTATATTTTAATTTCCACTAGGTATCGAGTCAAAGATAAATCTGACAGAGCAACAGTGGAACAGGTAAGTCTTATATATATCAAACTGTTTGTTAAAAGGCTTATTTTCATTTGAATCAATAACCAGAGGTAAAATCCTAGCTTCGTTGGCGTCAATGGCAAAACACTCATTGACTTCAGTGGGGTCAGGGTTTCACCCCAGGTTTTTCTTGTCTTTCTGAACAAGACTGCTTTATAAAAATTGTGTCTACTTTCACAGCTGGTTTGGACAACATTGTGGTGCTTAGTATTATGATTTGCTGTTGTATTCAACTGGGATTTTGTTGATAGGCATAGAATTTCATCTTAGCTTTACTCAGAAGTGGAATTTTCCATGGAAAAGACTAAATGGTCCAATTTTTTTTTTTTTAATCCACACATTTTTGCTTCTAAACCTAGTATGATACATTAAAGGCCTGTGTACCACAAGGACCACCATGTGCTCTTATGAATGCCTGGCACATTTTAGGGTAGCTGTATTCTAATGCACTTTTTTTCTTGGTATTGTGGATGGGAAATCACTCCTCTATTAGCATTAGCCTAAGGATGCATGTCAAATATTATAAATCACTGATTAGGAGTTGCATACAAGTCACAAACACATTTTTCCCTAATATTTTAAAGATAATTCCAAAATTATAGAAGAAATAGAGCACTATCCAGATAGAATTTTGAATGGCTTGGTCCACTAAGATGCTGTGGTTCTGTGAGTTCTTCAATTCAAGATGGATTAGTTTAATAATATTTTCAGTAAACTGGATAAAGTGATTTTGCTTATTTCCTCCCCCCCTCCCCAATTTCCCATGAGGTATTGGATCCAAGAACACGAATGATCCTGTTCAAGATGCTAACTAGAGGTGTCATATCAGAGATAAATGGCTGCATCAGCACAGGAAAAGAAGTGAGTTTCATTCCAACTGGCATGCTACAGTCTTCTTTGCAAACTGAAAGGAAATTGACTGTGCTGAAAGGGAAATAGTAAAATACTTATCTCTGGCATTAAATTAATTTTCTTGTGTTTGTCAAGAAGTTAATTTATTTACTGTAAAGTGAGACATCTGTTACTTTGAATTTTATCCCATATCAATAGTGAAGCTACTGAACTCTGTTTATTAATCAAAATATGGAGCACCATTTAAATTCCACTTACCCCATAAGTGGTCATGAGGACTCGAGTGGTACATAGGCCTCATGCTGGCCCTCGGCACAGAGGCTAGTTTCACTCTTACAGCCAAAGGCTGGTCTCATTGAAGTAACAGGCAAAACGCCATTGACTTCAGTGGAACCAGTATTTGGCTCTGAAGATCTGACCCTGCAGACCCCTGCTTATCATATGTGTAGTCCTCACTCATTCAGATAGTTCCGTTGACGTCAATGTGATCACTCTCAGGAGTGCAGAGCGTCAGTAAGAATTGAGGGTGCATGGCACCTCTTTGGATCAGGCTCCTCTCTAGTTATCTGTAATGAACATCTACTGCATGTACGCATTTTAGAGCTTTATACATATGCTAACATCTTTGTATGGTTTTAGATCCCAATCCTGCAAACTATTCCCTGTGGTTGGATCCCTGGGCCCATGCAAAATCCTGTTGACTTCAGTGGGGCACCCTTGTTGAGTCCAGGGGTCTCTAGGATTGAGGCCTGTAACAGCATTGCCACCACCTTATATCTTGGGATGTCCCTGCAGCACCCGTGCCTCAGTTTCCCTCTTCTGAGGGCTCCTTAAAAAATTCCACACAGTCCAAGATATTCAAAAACAAGGTTCCCCTTCTGAGGTCCAATTTATTAAGTCCTCATACAGTTTCCAATAGTCTCTCTCTCTCTCTCTCTCCCTCCCTCCCTCCCTTGCCCCTGATTATACTCATTTAGTTCTATCTGGACTGGCAATAAAGTCTGTCAAAACAAGTGTAACTCAGAACAAAACCATCTTAACAGTCCTTCCTCCAGGGCATTTCTGCTGGAGTGCAGTTTTCCCACCTTTCTCCAGGGCTTGGAGGCCAGGACATACCACCAGGAAGCGTGCAAACAACCTTCCCCTGCTGTCTCAGGGTTTCCAGCAGGAGCGTTCTTGCTTTCTGCAACTGCGCAGGCTCAGATCTCTGCCTTACCCAAAGTCTCTCCCTTATCTACACCAGAGGCCTGATTCCTTCACCCCTCTGCGAAGGAGAGTTAGCTGTGTCACAGGTGGGATTCAGACCCATTTTCCTTTAAAGGGGCAGCCACCCTGTGACAAAGCCCAAGGTTTAATTTCTCTCCTAAAAAATGGTGTTCTTGACAGTATTTGATACATGAGCAAACTTCTCAATACTTAAACTATTCCCAGGACGTTAATATTGTTTCTCTTACTTTCTCACTTATAGGCTAATGTCTATCATGCTAGTACAGTGAATGGAGAGAACAGAGCAATAAAGATTTATAAAACCTCTATTTTGATGTTTAAAGATCGGGATAAGTATGTGAGTGGGGAATTTAGGTGAGTTGGAGTTCTTTTCTTTAATGACAGCAAACCTCTCCAGGGCTAACAGTGCGTTTACCTACAGATTGTTCTTAATTTTTGTCACAGATATTCTATAAATGTTTGTCTCTGTGGTGTGCTTGTTTTTAAGATTTCGTCATGGATATTGTAAAGGAAACCCGCGGAAAATGGTGAAGACATGGGCAGAAAAAGAGATGAGGAATTTAATAAGGTGATTTTTTATATTTAACTTTGGTGCAGATGTGACTTGTGCATTCCATTGCTGGTGGGAATGCAGCTCATGTATTTAAGGGTCTGATCCAAAGCCTGTGAAGGTGAACGGAAAGACTCCTGTTGGTTTTAATGGGTTTTGGGTCAGGCCTCAAAAGAATCAGCATGGATATTGTTCATCACCATGTTGACATCAATGAAGACCAGCATCTGTCCCATAAATAGAGCAGAAACCAGACTGCCTGTGAGCCAGGGAATCTGGGTGTTCATCATGTCCCATAATTCATAGAATATCAGGGTTGGACGGGACCTCAGGAGGTCATCTAGTCCAACCCCCTTGCTCAAAGCAGGATCAATCCCCAGACAGATTTTTGCCCCAGATCCCTAAATGGCCCCCTTAAGGATTGAACTCACAACCCTGGGTTTAGCAGGCCAATGCTCAAACCACTGAGCTATCCCTGTTTGATTAAAACCTTCCCCAGAATAGTAGGGTGAGAAACAAAGTGATCATAGGAGATATTGTCAGTGTCAAGGGTGATTCTCCAGCAAGGGTCAAACAATTACTCTTTTGAGTGATTCTGGCACCCTGCCCTCTCCGGGGAGGCATCAGTCACTTCTTCCTTTTACAGACCCAGTGTCTTCCCACTAGATTTAGTGTGGGATTTTCAAAAGTGTCTAAGTGAGTTAGGAGCACAAGTCATTCACTTTCAATAGGCCTTGTTCTCCTAACTCACGCATTTTTGAAAAACCCTGGCGATGAGGGACATAGATCTAAATCTCCAGCATTTCCACACCTGCACAGAGTGAAAGCTGCTGGAACTCGAGGAGAGACGACGTTGTGGCCTCCTTCCACTAGGATCAGTGGTTTGTGCATGTGTAGTGGGGTCTCAGGGGAGGAGGGAATCGGGCAAGCTAGAGAGCTAGCCAATAAACCGGTGCTAACAGGGGGTGGATCATTTGCTGGTAGTTGTTCTGTTGAGCTCCTGCTAGTCCCAGATGCCCCGCAGGCACAAAAGGTGGGTTCTGATTTTAATCTGCCTCAGATCCTGTCCTGAGTTATGGAGGGCCAAGATGTTTGGAACCTGATCTCCCATATAATCCCCCATGACCCATAGTGTCACTCACAAAGCGGCGATAGAGGGTGGGAGTCTTTAGTGTTGTCTGTTTCAGGAGTGAAACAGGAGAGAATCCCAGCCACTGCACCAAGGTATCTCCCAGGACTGGGGAACAACCCACAGGAGACAGCCTTCCAACACACACACAAGGGAGCTTTATTATCCCCTCTCTCAACCTGTGACAGCCATGACAGGGAATAATCGTAAGGCTCTTCCTGCATGCTGATCCTTCTTCCTCTAAAAGTCCCCTCTTCCTCCTTGTCATGATTCCATGGCATAGTCTCTTGGGGTCCTCCTTCCTTGCACTACTTGGTGTGTTCCCTTGGGGTCCTTCCTCCTCTTTCTGCCCAAGCCCCAGCTCTGCCATTCGATTCCATGCGCTCTGCATTCTCAGCTGGGTACAGGAGTCCTCCTCATTCCTTGCCCTCTCAAACAGCTGCTGTGTCCCAGATCCTGGGTGGGGGAACGGATCCCCTTATGTCCCAAAACCAGCATTGAAAATGATGTTAGAACATGGTCAGTTTTCCCCATGTAGATGGGGAGCCAGAAGGGCAAAGTATTATTTATTCCCTGTTGAAACACTGTGACCTGTGTGCTGACCTGACCCCATCACGCTCCATGGTAGAACACTGACTGATGGGCACATTGCTTTCTGCTAATGGGCAGTGTTAATGCCATTTTATTGCAGGGTAAAGTTGGTCCCCACTGCACAGACCCTTCTAACATCCCCTCCCTTCCATCAGGGAAGAGAGTGGAGCTGCAAAGGACACCTGGGACAGGGGAGACAATTGCCTTTGCAGAGTATCAGTTACACAGGCACCATCTCAAGGAATCTTTTATTATTTAATCTTTTTGTGGGGAGAAAAATCACAACGATGTCAACAACTCGTGACCAATTGTTGCTAATGGAGGCATCTGTCTGGGGAGGGCAGCGTAGGATAAGGATGAAACACTTGGTCAGCAACAGAGAGACAGACTGGCTGATGCAGCTGGATAGTGGGATATATGGGGCAATTTAGTTTAACAAAATATGTATAAGGGTATATCTACAGGGTGTAGCAGTGCACTGCAGGGGTGTGATTTCTAAAGCACACCAATGTGTTGCACACTAATTGGTCCAGGTAGAGTCTGCTAGTGCACACTAAAAGTTCTCCACTGTGCTTTAATGTAGCTGTGTTTTTAAAGTGTGCTATGGAACTTTTAGTCTATACGGACCAATTAGTGTGCAATATGATCGTGCGCTTCAGAAATCACAGCCCCATAGCGTGCATTGCCACAGTGTGGACAACACTGGACGCTTGTGGCATACCTTTTCACATTCCAAGTGGCTAATGCAGGACTCAGCGCTACTCAGTTTGGAGGCCCTCTCAAACGGTGGGCCAGGGCAAACTGCCCTTCAACCTGGACAAGGGGCTTAGGGGGTCAAAGCGCAACAGTCCCGCAAAACCCAGGACTGTTAGAAGGTCTGATTTATGGTCTTATGATTAAGACACCAGACTGGGACTCAGGAGGTGTGGGTTCACTTTTCAGGTTTGCCACAGACTTCCTGTCCAACCTTAGACCTTCTCTCTGTGTGTCCATTTCCCATCTGTAAAATGGGGATAATGATACTTCCCTTTGTATATTTAGAATGTAAGCCCTTTGGGATAGGGACTGTCTGTTACTCTGTACAGCACCTACAACAGAGGGGTTCCAAACTTAATTGGTGCCCCTCGGCACTACTCTAATACAAATTATAAGTAATATAGATTGCATTTGTTTTTAATAGGTAGTTATGGGTTTTTTGTTGTAATGTTACAGGTTGAATACAGCACAAATACCTTGCCCAGAGCCAATTATGCTAAGAAGTCATGTACTTGTCATGAGTTTTATTGGTAAAGATGACATGTAAGTATCCTCAGAAAATCAATGAGAACTTCTTTATTGATAGGCTTGAACAAAGGTGAATTAAAAAAAAAAATCTGTTGAATTTGCTTAGTTTATGGCATAGGCTGGTGATTAATTGAGTACATTGCTCTGGTGTATAAATGAGATGTAAAGTATCAAGATACCTCCCAGCTCCTGTGGTGCAGGGTCTGCCTGAATCCAAAGCCTTATCCATGCAAGGCATGAGCAAATACTCTGCATTAGCTAGAAATTAAGGCCCCAGTTCTGTAACTGGATCTGCGTGGGCCTCTTTATACTTCATAGAATATGGATGGTGAGGATTCTATGTTCTAGAAATGTAAAATAAACTTCAAAGCTCAGGTCGTGATGTGTTAATCCTTTAGTTGGAAAGTTCATTAGTGGTGCACACAAATGTTAACTCAGCATTTGTAATGTAAATATTTAATATAACGTTGTGGTCTAGTTCTTCAGCTGGTGTAAAACGTTGTAGTTCCACTTTCTGCAGTGAAGCGATGAATATTTATATTAGCTGTGGAGCTGGCCAAGTGTTTGAGTAAATCACGGAGGTCTTTCCATTTACTGAATTAAAATGGATCAAGTATTGTGGTGAAGGGACTATACAGCTGGTGTAAAACGGGAGAATTTATTCTGTTTTTTTTTGTTTTTGTTTTTTTAAATCCAAGGCCTGCTCCTCTATTGAAAAATGCTCAGTTATCTGACTCAAAAGCCCGGGAGTTGTATCTACAGATCATACAGTACATGAGAAGAATGTATCAGGACGCCAAACTTGTTCATGCAGATCTCAGCGAATTTAATATGCTGTATGTTTTTAAACCTTGCTCTGTATTTTAACATTTAAAATGTAGGTATTGGTGGTTTCTCTCATAATATGTAGAGCTGTGCAGTACTAATACGCTCCTATGGGAGGGCAGTATCTTCCTTTCAGCTCTGCTTTGTAATTTACCTGATTATTATACAGATTTCATCCCAAATCTATCTCAGATAATTTAGCTTGCAAAATACTTCCCTGAATAGGTTATTCAGGGAGTTTTTTTTTATCGGCTGATGAATAAACAAGTAAGCTATTTTAATTCATTGTTCTAAAATTGCTTTTTGTGTTCACCAGGATTGTTCTCTCAAATAACGTGCAATAGTATAACTGAAAACAACTATTATATGGAACGTGTCCATAGCAAAACTTTAGTGTCAGGCCCCCAAAACTTGAACCATTTTTTCAAATGGTGGGATTTAAAATTTTTCTGCTTTTCCCTTGCTGCACCTCCAGATACCACAGTGGAGAGGTGTACATCATTGATGTGTCTCAGTCGGTGGAGCATGACCACCCACATGCATTAGAATTCCTGCGGAAGGACTGTGCCAATATCAATGGTGAGTGGGCAGTAGTTCAACTCCTCTTCTAATAGGTCATTCCTCTAGGAAGATTAACTGTGTACTTCCTTGTATTCTTCAAACTAACATTGTATGTAGAACAGGATGGATTTCGTTAAAATGCGCATCATCTTAGAATGTGTATAAGTTTCGTTAGGAAACCAACAAACTATGCTATGCAAAGTACAGCCAAGGTAGAGTATGTCACACAAATTCAATTACGTGTGAGCTTATGTTTTAGGCTAGCCTACGGAAAGCAGAGTTCACACAATTTCTGCAGATTTCACTGTTTGACATCTACAAAGTTTAATCTCAATATACTGCAACTGCTTGATCCTTTATGAAGCCTTCCCTTCCACCCTCCTGCTTTTCACTTGTTTCCTGGTCGCATTTGGCTTTCACTGAAGTCTATTTGACTTTTGCCCTTAACTTCAATAGGAAGCGGGGATTGGGCTTTGAATTTGCATGCTTCATTCAGCATTTGTTGTATCTGAAAGATGGGCAACTTGAGCTTTGGGTGACTAAGAGTTTTCTGATAACCACACCCAGTGGGATTCTGCAAACCTTGTAGGGAATTTCCCCAATTCATAGAGCCATTATTCTGTATTTACCATCACTTTGATGGTGTAGAAGCATAAAGTGAACTTGAATCACACTAACTTTGTTTTTTTTTCCCTGCTTCCGGACAGACTTTTTCTGGAAGTATGGTGTTGCGGTGATGACTGTCAGAGAGCTCTTTGAGTTTATTACAGATCCTTCTATCACAAGCGACAACTTGGATGCTTATCTCTCAAAGGTCAGACTTGAAGTTCCTGCTTATGTAGGAAGATTTAAGGAGTAAAATAAGATCTGGTTCAAGCTCATCTATCCCATTTATCCCATAACTATGCTTCTGCAGTAAATATTGTGCATTATATAATGAGACAGCAACTTAAAAAAAATATAGAAATGTTTTAACATTAATACATGTAAGCTGTGGGAACTTATCCACACCTCCCCGCCATGTTTGTGTGGGGTGGGCCGTATGAGCGGGATGAGTGAGGCGGACTTGGGGGTAAATGGGTTTGAGTGGAATGAGGGAGGCTTTCGCTCCACCTTAAAATACCCAGCATCACCAGCTAAATGCTCATTAGTCCAGTAGGTGAAAGGAACCTGCCTATTCTAGGAGGAGGGGGGGTATGCTGGCTCTAGGCCCCACACCTGGAATGCTTCAGGCTGGTCTGTTACTCACCATTGCTCTCTTCCCCTTCCCTCTGTCTGTTTAGTCTTGTTCTGACTCAAGCAGGGGTGGGTGTAAATTCAGCTGGGGTTCAGTTGTTGCCCCTTGGGATGCTAGTGAATAGATGATCATTTTCCAGCCCCCTAGCTCTAGCAGTCCCTTCGCTGTTTCATCAGCCCCAGCAGCCACGTTGGGTTCTCCTTTACCAATTAGCTGTTGCGGTAAATCCCAGCTCAGGTAGTCAAAGCAACAAAGATAGTGAAGGATCAAATTAAGACTCCTGTATCCTGACCTCAGCCATGTTGGGAATGTGGTGTCAGGAGACATTATTCCTGCCCCAACCTGGAATGCTGGGTAGGGGGCAAGTGCTTCCAAGCAGCCCATAAACGCTTGTATGGCATGCACAGGTTTTGGGTACTCACCAGAGCACTGGACTGGAGGGAGTAGGACTGTGGCTACAATACTCCCATCTTGCTCACGCGTGCTCCTCCGGCTATTCAGTGCTGCTGGCAGCAATAGCAGCAACTCTCTGCATCTGGGGGGTGTAGGCAACCTCCTGTGTGAGAGCATGAGCAACAGACAGAGGCTCCCTGTGCCCTGTTATCCCACACTGGTGTAGGGACAGCCATAATTTGACTCTGTGTTTGAATTGGCGGCAGTGGAGGGAAAGTTTTTTTTGCTCTCATTAAGTAGATCAGTAGCTAGGAGTGGGATTTAAGTGGGTGTGCCATGCAGAAATGTTCATCACCATTAGGTGTCACTAAAGGCATTGTGGTATGAAAAGCTGGAGTGTTTTACATGAGCAGGAGAGAACAGTTTCCCAGCGAATGG